GATGAAAACGAAATCTTTGCTTCGCTCTAAAAGTTTCTTGGAACCTTGAATCTATGCAACATGATGATGCTGATGGTGAAGAGAACGTTAAAGATCTTTGAGAAACAAAAGGAGAATCGAGGGAGGTGAGTTGAGAGAGAAGAGAGGATCGCTCTGAGTTGAGAGAGAAGTGTTTCTATGGTCTTGAGGATGAGGGAGCTGGCTTTGAATTTTTGGTGATCGTTGATAGAGAAAGCGAGAGTTTGTTACGAAGAGAGAGTGATGGTGGTGAACAAAGGAGAGAGGTTGAAGGTGATGATGCTCCAAAGAGAGAGAGAGAGAGAGAGTGAGGTCGTAGAAGAATGGAAGTGAGAGAGAGTGGGGTTTACGGGTGGAGAGAAAAGAGAGTGCAAGTTTTTTTTGTTGCAACTGATCCGTAACCGTTTTTGTGGTGAATGTCACTCTCCTCCACAGAAAAATGGTGATGGCTTTTTATATGTGAGCTGGGTGCGTGTGATTTTTTTCCATTGCCCAGGTTTGTTAAGCTCTTCATGAGTGGATAAGAGAGTGAGTGAAAATGGTGTTGTTGTTTATCAGGTGGCGAGGGAGTATGATAACATATGGTATACACTGTGAGTTGTGCCAACTTTTCCTTTTCAAACTTTAAGAACAAACTCTCTTCTTTTGGCATATCTTATCCATTATGCATGCATGCACATGATTGTTTGGTCAATTGAGGAAATACCATTGACTTTCATACTATACTGCAACATCTATCTCTATCATGCATGACCTCACGCGTTTTTTTTGGTCGAGCTACTCAGAGCTAACCATGACCATGTGCTACTCTTCTTGGTTCAATATCTCGAATTATGGGAATTTTTTCCCTACATGCCACACTCATGAAACAAAATTTTCAAAATGCCAAGTTCTGAAAAAAAATTTCCAAGATGTCACATTCAGGGGGTTCACGCCATTTGAGATAGCGTGAAGGAGAGCAGAAATGGCTCACGCCAAATCAAATGGCGTGAAATGCCTTTATATATTTTTTTTGTTTTCTGACTTTTTAATTATTTATTTTAATTATTTTTATTATTTAATGTTTATATTAATTACAAATACTTTAATAAAATTATTTAGTTATAAAATTAATACTTCAAATAAATATTTAACAATTACAATATGATAATAAATTTTTTGCAGATGAAAAGTTTGAAATCTCCCACAGTCACAAGTTCGTGTTTGGAGGTTGACGTTGAAATGGGTCGACAATTCCTATTATTAACCGTCTCTTGAACCACGAAATAATGACTTTCACGGTGAAAAGCCAAGACATTATAACTGTGGGATTTTTCTACTTCTTCTGCAATTCCTTTCATGCAATTATCTGTGAACTCCTTTCTCGATGACAAATTTTTGGTCCAATCCTTTTCTCGCTTACCCCACAATGTTCCCATCCTGTAGTATGTTGATCTTACAAGTGATGTAATAGGTAGGTTTCGGGTTTCCTTCAAAACTGAGTTCAAAGATTCAGCTAGGTTGGTTGTCATGTGACCCCATCGTGCTCCTCTGTAATAAGCTCGCGACCATTTTTCTCTTGGAAGGTTATCTATCCAATTAAAAGCCTCTATTTGTTTGGCGGATCTCCTCCCAATAATATGCGTAGGTAGACTCATTAATTGCATACCCTTCATAAAAGCATTAAAACATTAATATAAAAGAACTATATATTGAAATGTCGTGTTAAAAATTAGAGAGTAATTACCCATGTTAACAACTGTCTTGCGAAGGTTTTTTGTCCTTGATGGCTCGCATGAAGTTTTGTGCGATGTGCCTAATGCAATACACATGCACCGATGGTGGGTTCTGCCAGCCATTATCCGGGTTATTGTAGGCACTCTTAATAGACTCATGTCGATCAGATATCAAACATAAGTCTGATTGGGGTGTGACGTGGAGTCTCAAATTTTTCAGAAAGAAACTCCAAGCTCCCCCGGTCTCACCTTCGACCAATGCATATGCGATTGGGAAAATGTTACCATTCCCATCTTGTGCAACAGCCAGGAGCAATGTTCCCCTATATTTTCCATACAGCCATGTACCATCTACCTGCACTATAGGTTTACAATGTGCGAAACCCCTAATACAAGGTTGAAATGCCCAAAAAAGGTGATGGAAAATTCTTGCACCACCAATTTGTGTTCCTTCATTTGAATATACAAGAAGTGTTTCAAGATCTATGACGGTACCTGGGAGAAATTGTTGCATGACTAGCAACCACTGTGGAAGGTTGTTGTAAGAGGCCTCCCAACTACCATAAATATCTTCGATTGCTTTGTTCTTTGCAATCCATGCCTTTTTGTAAGACACGGTATAGCCATAAGTCGTACGAATATGAGCAACAATATGTCTAACCTTGATTGCCGCGTCACTGTCAACAAGAGGTCTGATGTTATGGGCGATCATCTTTGAGGTAAGCTTTTTGTGATCTTGAGATATAGCAGTCGACATGCAAGTGTGTGACCCTCCAATTTTGCCAATAACTCATTTACCACATCCCTCCCTTAATGAAGCCCTACATGTGAAGTTGCATTCCTCCTTTTTACATTTAATTAAATATCGTGTCGGATCAGACTTACAAACCTTAAAAGTATGAGAATTTTTTATGTGATACTCAGATATTGCATGGAGACATGCTTCTTTGTTTTCAAAAGTTATACCAACCTTTAAGTCATCACGTGACTCACGTTCGTGTACGGGTTCGAAGACTGAAATTGGTTCCACACATTCAAATGAAACATTTCTTAAGTGATAGGGTGGGTTATACAGATCAAGTATAGGAGTCGGTTCTGCCTCCAGTCTGTCATCGTCACCTGACTCGTCACTGGACCCACTAAACAAATTAATTTGTCTGGCATCGTCGGAGTCAGTATCATCACCCACTTCCTCTTCTGTAAATATTGGCTCGTTATGTTGTGCTTGGACAGACTCTTCTTGTTGGGAGACCTGACTTTGACTTTGTTGATATGCATGAGTTTGTGATGATTGTGTTGGAAATACTTCATGCATTTGTTGAAAACAAATATACAACTCCATTGCTTGTTGACTGCAAAACCTTGAGTGGCATTGAAGCATTGAACGGACATCTTCATCGTCTTCGATTTTTGCAGTGTTGTATGTGACATTGTGATCAACTGGATTAACTATTGGAAATCGATAAAAAATAGAAGTTACATGTTGTCGTAAAGTTTCTTCTATTTTTTCCGTCAACCGAGCTAAATCACTATTTCGATGAATATTTAAAATATGTGTATCTGTATTTTGAAATACCACTCCAATAATTTCATCGGTAAAAATATTACCATTGAAATGTAACAGACAAGAAATATGATTTTGTGGCATTGTGTTTGATGTAATGTTCAATTGTTTGAATATGTGATAGCTTGGTTTGTTGAATAAGATACAACTATGTTGAATTGTATTTCATGCATGTATTAATAAACAAACAGCAATTCGTTGGATTTATTATACTGTCGCCAAGTCAAATGGCGTGATGCTTTGGTTCTTGTACACTTGCATCATCTCAAATGGCGTGAGCCCTTGGAGGCGTCATTTCAAATGGCGTGAATACCTTGCACGCGCCAATTAAAATGGCGTGAAGCCCCTAGTTGCGCCAAGTCAAATGGCGTGAACCCCAGGGTTGCGCCAATTTAAATGGCGTGAAGCATATGTGTCTGGCGTGAAGAAGTCATATGTGCCATGCATATAAGAGCTACATTAAACGATTATGTTATCAGATTAAAATGAGTCTGATACTCTGCTCAGTATACATTATTCCGTATAATTCACAGGTTGTTATGTTTGATTATAGAAATGCATTTTCTAATCCTTTGGTTGTGCGGCTTATGGAAAGATCTAAACTAATTCATTTGAAAAATCAATTACGTTAAGTCACAAATATTAATAGGAGCATTACAGAGATATCTTTCAACCGGACTACCATCAACGAAAATGGAGTCTTGATGCAGCATATTACAAAGTTAGTTACAAATACAGATGTATTTAACATGTTTGAGGATTTTTGAATTGGTGTTAATAAAACACCATTTGAGTTGTATGTCAGATTCAGTAGATCAGCCGATGAGGTTTTATCATTGTGTACAAAATCGTATAATTTACGATATTCATAATAAATTATAAATTTATATTTATCCAACTTTCATTAAATTACTCTACTACCTACCAACTCTAATTAAATTACTCTACTACCTATTAACCATAATTAATTAAATTATTCAACTACCAACCAACCACACTCACCTCTTTTATCCTATAAATACTCAATCACTCTCACCTCATTTCTCCATAAACACACTTCATTCTATTCACACTCTCTACTCTCTTTTGATAAGTCTTCTCTTCTCTCTTTTCATAAGTCTTCAATTAGTTCTTCATTTTCACAATTATGGCCAATATGTTTTGGTATGGTACACAACATAGGGGAACTGTAGAAAATATAAATGTTGTAAGTATTTTTGATTTATTCAACTTTATTCATATTATTTATTTTTGAGTTTACAATAGTAGTTTTATTCATAATTTGCATAGAAATATTGAATATTTTTCTATATTACTTATTTCTATTACAGATTGATGATAATTATATTTCAAAATGGAGAATCTGTGCTCACAAACCTCTAAAGCCACATGCAGCCATAATCCCGTATCTTCACCAATCTGGGTTCTACCATGTATCTACAATAGGGTCAACACACATCGATTCAAGGTTAATTATAGCCTTACTGGAACGGTGGAGACCCGAAACTCATACATTTCATCTTCCAAACGGTGAATGTACAATTACATTGGAAGATGTGAGTATGTTATTGGGGCTTCCTGTAGATGGAAAAGCGGTAAATGGTCAATCTGAGCTAGGTGATGGTGCATGGAGTTCTATTTTAGGGGATGAACCACCACAAAGTGATAAGGGAATGACTGCGAGGTTGACATGGCTTAAAGACATGTACCAACATGAACCACCAACCGAGGAGTCACCCGAGGAGTATAAAATTAAACATGCTCGTATTTATATCTTACTCCTTATCGGGCAAGTTTTGTTTCCCAACAAAAGCGGTAATACTATACACTCAAAATGGACACAATTTGTTGTGGATTTAGAAGATTGTGGAAAATTGAGTTGGGGTTCCGCCGTTTTAGCGAATCTATATAGGGAAATGTGCAAGTCGGTAGACATAAAAGTAACAAAGATGTCAGGATGCGTTTTACTTCTTCAAGCTTGGGCTTTTACACGCATGCCTATAATATCTCTGGTGGCTCCGCTTCAATCTCCATATCCTTACGCAAGAAGGTAATATTTTATTTTAAATTTTAAATTATAATTAATATTGTTAGAATACTTTAAAATAAAATTTAATTTTAAATTCTTTTTAGGTGGTGCATCAAGAAACTTGACTACCAAAACAACCCGCGCCACCATCTACAAGGATACCGATTCGGGATTGATCACATGCTTCAAGATCAGGTTTTTTTGTCTTCACCTTAATATTTCTTATAAATTTTTGAATTTTATTTTGGTTAAACTAAAAAAATTTATGTACAACTTCTCAGTTTATTTGGAGGTCGTATCTTGGATTAGCGCCCCAAAGGCACGAGGATAGTTTGATATGGAGTTCAACTACGTATATAATATGCTTTCATATTGTAGAAATGCATCAAGCTGATAGGGTCAAAATACAATTTGGCCATTTACAAGGGATACCTAAAGAAGCTCGATGCTTGGCTGAACACCATAAGATGACAACAATAAAAGCGCGCCAAAAAGCATATACCACATTATACTCTGATGAACAAAACTATTGGTTGCATCGAGAATTGTTTACGTTGGATGGAGATCAATTACAAACAGAGGAGAAACCGTCAAATGAGTACATGCAATGGTATCACTCGCTTCCACATAGATATGCATCGTACGAACAATTTCTCACTGACCCTCGTCAAAATCAATATGCCCCTACTCAGGCAAGTGGCTCTCAACAAACTCTTCACTCACAACATTCTCAACCTCCTCAACCCCAATCCTTCCAACAACAAACTCCTCACTTTTTTCAACATCAAACACCCATCCCTCATTATCCTGAACAACAAACTTCTAACCCTCATTTTTCTCAACTACAAACTCCTGCCCCTTATTTTTACCAAAATCAAACCTTTAACACCCAATACCCGCAATCTCACTCCCAACCAAATTATATTTATGAATCCCAACAACCACAATTTTATAATAGGCCAACTACACAATTTTATAATAGGCCAACTACACAATTCACACCCATCATGCGGCCAAACTTCGATTCCTCCTCCTCCCAACATAACTCGCCTTATTTTTCAACCATGTGTCCGCCACAACAGCCGCAATATAATTTTGGCGAGGATCTTAACGTCAGTGATTATGATTTACTGCAAAGTATTTGGTCTCCTCCACAAGCTACCGCTCATAGTCAAGAAAATCCTCCAACATCAGATGCAACACAACAAAATCCTCCAACAACAGAGATCAAACAACAATATGGTTTTGGTCATCGTGCTCCGCGACCGCGTTATTGTTTTACCGGTACTCGTTTCGGACCGGGTCATCAGCATTAAATAGTGTAATTGTGATTTTTTAACAGTTTTATTTTATTTTGCATTTTGATTGTAATTGTGATATTTTATTTATTTAATAAAAAAAATTATTATCATATTGTAATTGTTAAATATTTATTTGAAGTATTAATTTATTATCATATTGTAATTGTTAAAAATATAAACATAAAAATAATAAAATTTATTTAATAAAAAGTATTTGTAATTAATATAAACATTAAATAATTAAAATAATTAAAATAAATAATTAAAAAGTCAGAAAACGAAAAAAAATATAAAGGCATTTCACGCCATTTGATTTGGCGTGAGCCCTTCCTGCTCACCTTTGCGCCATCTCAAATGGCGTGAACCCCCCCTGACTGTGGCATCGGAATTTTTTTTCAGAGCGTGGCATTTTGTGAATTTTGTTTCATGGGCGTGGCATGTAGGGAAAAAATTCGAATTATGGACATCCTCTAGCTAAGATATCAAGACCAAAATGAAGAGGAAGATTGTGTGGACAAAGTTTTATGTTGATCATCACTTGAAATATTGTTGGTAGCATCTTCAGAAATGACCCTGAATGCATGATGTTGAACTTGATAGAAAATGCTAACCATTTCGCTAAATCGAAAAATACTCACTAACTCCATTTCCTCAACTTCATGGCCTACTAACTTGCGATATAGACATTTTTATAATGAGATCCACAAATCAATATTGAAGAGAAAAATTTTCTGAACAACTTTCATGTTGAAAGTTTCTTGAAATAATACCTGAAACATGTTCAAAAATAGTCATGAAGTCGTGACGTCAAAGCTGGTTGTAGCAGATGATATATAATTGATAGCATACATGCATAACATAATTATTCTCACACTTCAAGAGTTTCATCAACAAGTTATCACTGAAGTAGTAATGCTATTCACAAGTACACACCCACAATTCCACAATTCAAATGATAATTAATCACGAATACTACAAATATAATATTCACACTAATATCACATATTGTACACCAATTCCAACAAATCCACTTTGACTTATGTGACTCAATGCAATTCAATACTATGCAATATGCATGTGGTGCCAAATGTTATCCTCACCTCTTCAAATAGGTATACCTCCCTCAAATTTTGGTATACCTCATGTAGGTATACCTCTTCAAATTATCTTACTACCAATAAAAGCTTTGAATAACCACCAATAAAAATTGAGAACATTACAGTTGAGAAGTAGGTATACCTCTTCAAATTTTTCTACACTGAGAGAGATATGCATATTACTACATTTTGTTTTATATAAATGTATAAGTGCCATTAACTAACTAATTTTGCTCAGTAGAAGCACATTTTGGCTACTGTTGAGAAATACATACATAACACTTCATATGATTTCCGCAACAATAGAAGACCATTTGACACTTGCATTTTTCGCTACAGAAAACTAGAGTTGCAATATATATGTATGTAGCACTCCAATTAATTAATTCCAAACAAAATTAACCATCACATATCTAAGATTTATCACTAAAATCTCACAATTACAAAATCATATTAGGAGTTTAATTTTAAACATGTTTCTATCTATCATACAATCTCAATAATTATATAAAAACCCACTCTTACCTTGATTCTTTGAGCTCTTGAGCTTTTCTTCTTAGATTTTCTCTTCATCTTCTCCACTTCTCTCTTCTTTGCCTCTTTCTATCTTATTTTCTTCACTTTCTCTCTCTATTTCTATAACTCTCTTATTTTATAAAACTAACCCTTATTCTTAATGGGCTTAACTCTACCCACTTATTCTAATGTGATATAAGACTCAATTACTAATTCTACCACTTTTATATTATTTCCACCAAATAAAATAAGTCACATAATTCAATTAAGTCAATTAAATTAATTATGCACAAAATCACACAATTAATTAATAAATCATATATTTCACCAAAACCAACAATAAATTAATTACTATATCATATATAATAATTAATAGAATAAATATATAATATAATAAATAAAAATCGGGGTGTTACACTACTAGGAACATAAAAGCTTTAATAATCATTTAAATATGCCTAGATAGACAAAATAAATATGTTCTCATTAAAAACTTAGGGCACATTCCTTAAGATAAATATGTAACATAAATAATTTCACTTCCCGTGTGCAATACCTAAATAACTAGAGAACTTAAGCTCTTACATCTTAATGAACATACCTCCATCTCCATGTACAATACCTAAGTGATTAGAAAGTCTTCCCTTACACCTTAGGATATAGTCTTCCAATAAGAATGTTTCTCTTTCCATTATACCATGATAGTCTTGCTATGCAAATAAGTATCCCTGTTATGACATGCATATATATTTTAGGGAACCTTATTTATGCAAACTTTAGAATTAAGTAAATAAATTATGTTTTCTTTATACCATGACATTTGTGCTTCCTTTCCTATATAAAATACATATCATGTTTGAAGGACTAATTTGTTGATGCATGTCATGTCTCACACACATAAGAAATATGTTTATCTATGATAGTTGTTATAAGTACACTTGCTTTATCTTTCGTGATACCATGATAATTTCCTATGATATGTATGACAAGTGTTTTCTATAAATGTTATAAAAACACATGTTCTTAGATATTTCTCATAATACCATGATTCTTTATATAACATGATTGTTCCTATAATGCATTATGCCTTGTTACACTAGCTTTGATACTTGATATATTTTACAAAGATGTTTTCTTGAATATGTTACATGTATGTTATCATACTATTTATTTACATATCTATTCTTTTACCTGCCTTTTTTATTATGACAAAAGGGGGGAAGTATACTCTGAGGAGGAGGGTATATAATCTAACTCAGGGGAAGCGATATCACTCCAAATTTATATATTGTTTTGTTTTTTTTACCACCTCCCATGAGAGATGCGTTGGAATCATAAAAAATGGAGAGAATGTGGAACCTTGTTTTGCAGGTAACAAGTGTTGTTTTAATGATGACAATTGTGGAAAGATCATAAAGCTTATTCAACATATTAAAGGTGCAAAAGTATACCAATACAATGAGATATCACACTATACAATCAACATGTTAGAGATGCAATATGATGACTAATATAGAAAAGAAATTAAAGTACACTCAGCATAGTAAAAGATACAAAATTTTATAAATCAATCAAGAAGAGCAATAAAAGAATATCCAGCATAGCAAAAGATGCAACATGATGAATAAAATAACATATTAGATGATACTCAACATAACAAAAATGCAATAGTTGAGAAAGTCAAGCAATGCACGTAAACGGTTAATTCAAGCCATGGGTTGGATAATAAATACTCAAATAATGATAAAGGAAATCAAAAGCCTCAGGTCATCTCAAAGCAAATGTCAAACACATGGAATACATCAGACACACGATTTACGTTGATCATCCTAAAATAGCAACTGAGTGAATCAATATAAGCAAAAGTTCTCTCGTTGTAGAAGTAGTTGGCTATAAGCACATACACACACACACATACACACACACACACACACACACACTAAAACATTTTTTAAAGATTTTTTAAAATGAAATTAATAGAGGAAAATATATAAAAGTTGCATAAAATTTATTAGAGCATTCAAAAAGCCATAAAACTCTTTTTTTTTGCTATATTTAATCGATTAAGCCTAGATGTTAATTGATTAAATAAATTATCCCTTTCTAAACAAGGAAGTTTGAATTCTCTCAAATGATTGGCAACAACTACATATCAAAACCTACCATTTTAGAAAAACATAGTCGTTGGAATTTATGTGTTAATCAATTAAGTCAATCGATTAACAACTGCTATTTTTCATTAAATGAAGTTTCCTCTTTTGGGATTTATCAAGCCTGTAAAAAGAGGTCTCATTTCATATCATCCAGAACTCAAAATGTGTATTGACACACACACACACACTCTCTCTCTCTCTCTAAGTTTTTTCTGTCACTTTTTGTCACTAGTTCTTATAGCCAAACGCTTTTGTGAAGAGAGGTTTATGTATTCCTGGTTGGGTAGAAATGTATAAAGTTCTTCAATGTTATTATTGATTCACCTTGATGAATATCATCCATATTTAGGGGAAAATTATGTGGTTCGAAGCTAAACCCGTTAAAAGTTTTGGGTGGGATTTTGTGTGGGAATTTGTGTGATTAGGTTCCCATAATCTATATAGGTTGGAGGTTATCACTGTTGTTGAGATTCCCTTAAGACTACTATAACGTCTTATTTATTCAAAGGTTGAAGATCAACAATATTGATGAACTCACAGTTAGGTTCATGGTGAGCCTGCTATAAAACCATAGGTTAGTTGATCAACCTGTTAAAATCCCAAGAGGTTAATGGTTATCCTATTAAACCATATCAAGCTCGGATATTTTTTAGTAGAGAGAAGTGATGGTACTTTGATCTACAATTGGGAGAGGAGCTTGGCCACTTCGATCTTAATAATGAATAAGACACTAACGTTTATATATTTTGCCTTGCATTATTATGGTTGTAGGACAACTAACATTTCCTTGTATAAGGAGGTTTGTGAGCTTCACCTACTAAAAGCTCTCAAGTACTTAATGGAAACTCTCAAGACCTATTCTTATGGAGAGGAGTAGGTTTTTCAGTTTTGATCGAACATCTATATATCGTAGTATTCTTCTTATCCCTTAACTTTTTATTTTCCGCATTTTATTTTAAAATTAGTTTTTAGCTGCTAAGTTATAAAAAAATTTGGAAACTCTGATAGATGTTAGGGTTTATAAAATGTTTTTCAAACTATGTTTTTAATCTTCCAAAAAGTTTTCAAAACCATGTTTTTCTAAATCACACAATTTACCCCCCTCTTGTGTGTGAAGTCTCAAGTACAACCTGTTAGGGGGCGAGTCCCTCTCCTTGAGGTGAGTCGCTTAATTGAAAGAGACTATTTACTTGAGCCTCCGAAGGATGAGTCAACTGCTAGATGTATTTGGGTTAACTAAAATATCATT